TTAAAGATATTTAAGTAAGATTCTCTAAACTAGTAGAAGTAAATTGTGAACTGTCATTTCTCAGACATCCTTTTCCACCCTACACTGGGCAGAACAAACTCAGTTTTTAAAACATCACAGAACAAAAGGGGCTTCTGGGGTTTCATGAATGTTCTATTTTTACCCAGATGTTGATTAAATAGATGTGCTCATTTTTAAAATTCATTGAGCTATACATTTACAATTTTTGTACTTCTCTGTGTGCTATGTATGGATTCATAAAGACAGCAAAACTATGCTGCCACCTTACAGAATCATCAGAACTGACAAATTCTTGACATATTAATCCTTTCATTTCCCACAAATTAGAAGGGGGGAAACAATAATAAGCTTTATTCCTGGATTTAATTCCTAAAAGCAAAGGAAAAACTCATTGGTGATATGGAAATGAGAGAAGTCATGGGAGAAAATAACCATGTCAAATGAAAGCTTATTGAGAAACTGCTCAATACTAAGAAACCAGAAACATTAAATGGACCTGCAAAAAGAGAGCAAGGAATATTTGAGAACTTTGGAATTAGCTGAAGACCTAGATCCATAATTTATTAACCAATGGGACTTAAATACAGTTATTTTATTCCTGTAAGGTTATTCCTCATCTGTAAAAGGAGTTCAATACCTATCCTAAAGAGATACGAGGATTAGAATTAAGATACTACAATGTTTTTGTATGTATCTGAAATGAATATCATTATTTTATAGGAAAGTATCATAAAACCTTTTGTGATACTATCCAAAAAAAAAAGACTAATAGCACAGCTGAGTTCCTTTAGGGCTACAATATCATCTTTCATCTTGGTATCCTCAATATCTAATATAGTGCCTGATATGCAGTGGAGTTTCAATAAATATTTGCTTAATTGAAGTCCCTGTGATTCCAGAGAGGTTAGCAAAATAGTGATGGGAGAATTAAGGGGAAAAACAGCTTTTGTGTGTTAAAATCAAGTAGAAATAACTGTAGATTAAATTTTCAGGAAGTCTTACAGAAAATAGCAACTGGATATGAATACATGATTGAAGAAATGTGTCTACTTTAATGAAGATTTAAATAAGAAGAGAAGGCAGCTTAAAAATGTAAGGTAAGAGAAATTAAAGATTAAACTTTCTATTAAATGGTTTCTGACTGGGGCGCCTGGGTGGCTCAGTGGGTTAAATCCTCTGCCTTCAGCTCAGGTCATGATCTCAGGGTCCTGGGATCAAGCCCCACATCGGGCTCTCTGCTCAGCGGGGAGCCTGCTTCCTCCTCTCTCTCTGCCTGCCTCTCTGCCAACTTGTGATCTCTGTCAAATAAATAAACAAAATCTTTAAAAAAAAAATGGTTTCTGACTATTAGCCCTCAAGGCAGCATTTTCCAACTTCCTAATAAAATACCCAGAAAAATGGAACACAAGCAAAACCTATCCTAAAACAAAACTGAAAACTATCAGATGCCATGGTTTAGGAGGAACTAAAGTTAATTATTTATAAACGGAGGTAAATTAAGAAATAAAAAACAGGGGTGCCTGGGTGGCTCAGTTGGTTAAGCATCTGCCTTTGGCTCAGGTCACAATCCCAGAGTCCTGGGATCAACCCCCACATGGGAGCACATCCCTGCTCACCTGGGAGCCTGCTTCTCCCTCTCCTTCTTCCTGCCACTCTGCCTACTTGTGCTCTGTCAAATAAATAAACAAAACCTTAAAAAAAAGAAATAAAAAACAATCCAATTTATTAAATACCTTGATTTGCTTGAAGCACAAGTCATGTGGAAAAGGAAATGAGGGGAAAACCATCATCTATCCTTGGATTTGAAGGCCTACAACCTGAACCAAACAAAAAAGGGATGCTGTCCTTATCTACACCACAGAAAGAGTTAACCCACTTTACATCTTGTTTCCACTGGCATTTTTAAAGATCTAGGTAGAAACATATAAGATGTAAACAGTAAGAAAGTGAGGAGTGAGGTATTGGCAATGGCAGAGCACATTCCAGAAGCCAAGAATCTCAAGGAGTAACATGCTTGAGAGAATAAAAAGAAGAATCAGGGTGCCTGGGTGGCTCAGTGGGTTAAAGCCTCTGCCTTCAGCTCAGGTCATAATCCCAGGGTCCTGGGATCGAGCCCCACATCGGGCTCTCTGCTCAACAGGGAGCCTGCTTCTCCGGCCTCTCTCTGCCTACTTGTGATCTCTGTCTGTCAAATAAATTAATAAAATCTTAAAAAAAAAAAAAAAAAAAGAAGAAGAAGAATCCTGGTAATACATGGATGAATTGTAGTTTCATTGTACTACTAGTCTAAGTTCTAGAGAATCAGTTAATGGTGGATAAGAAAATGTTGCCAATTAAGTAAAAATTTACATAAAATATTGCCAAATCAAAATCCCTAATGAGTTAAAGTAGTATCTCAAACAAAAATACCTCAAACAAGTGGAGCTTATCCCAAGAATGTAAGGATGGTTCATCATTTTTTTAAGTTTTAATTTTTATTTATTTATTTTTTTAGTAATCTCTACACCCAACATGGGGATTGAATTCACAACCCTGAGATCAGGAATCACATGTTCTTCTGACTGAGGCAGCCAAGCACCCCTGATTTATCATTTTAAAAAATGTATTACATTACAATTTTTTTTTAAGATTTTATTTGTTTATTTATTTGTCAGAGAGAGAGAGACAGCAAACGCGCGTGCACACACACAAGCAGGCAGAGTGGCAGGCAGCAGCAGAGAGAGAAACAGGATCCCTGCCGAGCAAGGAACCCAATGTGGGACTCGATCCCAGCACCCTGGGATCATGACCAGAACAGAAGGCAGAGGCTTAACTGACTGAGCCACCCACGCGCCCCTACATTACAATTTAAATAGGAAAAACAATATGATCAACTCAATAAGAAGTGGAAATACAAACTGCTAATAAACTTAAGCAGTACACACCCAGCAACCATGACAGATGCAAATGAAAACTATTTTTCTGATCATTAGAATGACAAGATATTTAAGAAAGGTAACAGCAGGGGAGGAAAAAAAAAGCAAATACTGTGAAAGAAACAGGCAGTCTAACACATTTCTGGTAAAAGCTTAAACAGGTAAACTCTTTTGTATGAATTTTATCATTTCTACCTGTTTACAAGCACTGCTACTGGAATATAAAATATTTTTCACACCATGTGTAATACTGTTTTAGCATTCAGTTGTTCCAGTGCTTCTCAAATTTTTTGGTCTCGGGACTCCTTGTGCCCCTAAAAATTAGTGAGCAGATGAATAGTTGCAAGGACTGGGGGAGGGCTGACTATAAAGGGGCAGGAGGGAATCAGGGGTGAGTGATGAAACTACCGTATATCTTGATAATGTTGGTCATCACATATCTGTATGTGTTCTCCAAAATCATAAACTTTATTATTAAAAAGGGTGAATATAATATATGCAAATTAAAACCTTTAAAAAAAAGTCAGACCTGAAAAAAAATTCTTGAAGACCCCAAAGAATTTTTATTGAGTTACAGGTATCAATATTTAACACATTAGAAAACTGAGAAAATTTTAAAGTAGTACTTAATGTTTTCACTTTAAAAATAGTAACTGTACTAAATGTTAACATAAATTATGTATTCTTTATGAAAAATAACTTTTCCAAAGCAAAAAACATTTAGTGAGAAAAGTCCCACTGTTTATATGCTAGCAAATCCCGTTTAATGTCTGGCTTCAAAGGGAAAACAGCTGGACTCTCATTCTGTTTCTGTATTCAATCTGTTCCGTATCATAGGTCATGTAGCTTCTGGAAAACTCCACTGTACACTTCTGAGAAAATTAATGTAAAAAAGACAAATAACATGGGCATATTATTATGAAAATAACTTCGACCTGGAAGTGTCCGGAACCCTAAGGGTTCCTGGACCACACTTTGAGAATTTGATTGAGCCTATACAAGAAAATTTCAAATACTGAATATGGCACGATAATGTACTTCTTTTCAAATCAGGGAAACACCTTCTTACGCAGATTATCTGTCCTGCTTTAATACCATATTCACCTTTCCCAGGTCAAAACGCCTACCAAACAATGCTTTAGACTGAGCTACAAACACCAATGTAAATGAAAGATATTTCCGAGACCAAACAGTTTAAAAAACAAACAATTGTCAGTAATAGGTACAGCACCTCCTCAAGCCCTCACTCTCTCTGTAGGACCAGGCAGCACGAACAGGGAGAAAGTAGAAAAAGAAAATAAATGCCTGAACTCAAAGAAGAGATCCATAAAACCAAAAGGCAAAGCGAATAACTGCAAAAATCAAGCAGCACAAGAGCAAACATACACTGAATGTAAAATACAAGAAAATACAAATATTGCTTTTTGGCCATTAAAAAAAAACAACTCAAAATGCTGTATTCAGACTCTACCCTCAGTCTACACATACTGAGTCTCCTACGACGGAAAAGGGGGATCCACTGTCTTCCAGCAATCACTTTAGCCAGCATGCTAAGCAAGGTGACAGAGCGCTGCGTGAAGAATAGTGGTGTGCCTGCTCGAGGCTTTTTAAGTGTTGATACAACTTTCAGGACCGCAGAACCGTCCAGAACTACTCACTATTCCAAGCGACCGAGTCCCACTTGCAGTCCCCGGGACCTCGGTCCCCAGGTGACTTTTAAATACTGTATTTTCCAAGGAAGTGGTGGCACCACCGGAAGACGGCGCACATCCTGGGTGGACGGAGGCAGGACCCGGGCTCCCAAATGCCCCAGCGGCTTCCCTGTCACTTGCCCCTGACGCGGTATCTCGGACCCGATTGTGCCTCCTTTGACGAGTACCGGGGCCACCGCTCTTCCCTGTTTCCCCACTTGCGCTCGAGGGGTCGGAAGGGTCGCCTCGCGGCGCCCCTCCAGCTCAACTATAGGACTCTGGGACAGAAGCAACTCAGCCGTTCAGGCGGCCCAGGCCGTCCTCTCGGTGAGAGGTACCCTGAGGGGGACCGTCTGCGTCTCCCCGCACTCACCCGGCTGACGCTTCAGCGCCATCACCGACACCAGGTAGTGGGCGATATCAAAAAAGGGGAACATAGACGTGCGAGAAAAGGCAAGGGTCAGCTCATCCCACGGAGAATCCATCACGACGACGGACCGCAGCAGGCGAAGCAGCCTGGGTGACGGGTTCCTGCCGTGCGCGGCGAAAAGTGGGGGAGGGGGGCCGCCGCGGCCGCGCGCCCTCCCGCGCGGCCTGGAGGAGCCCTGCGCGTGCGCCCTGGGACCCTCGCTGGCGCGCTTTGGGGGCGGGGCCGCGCGTCCCGGGAGTGGGCGGAGCGAGCATCTCCCTGGTGTTCCGGTGGAAAATACATTACTTATGTTAACATTTAGCACCTTTATTATTTTAAAACGAATACGTGAAGGACTGTTTTAAATTTTTCTATTATAACTTCTTGAGAACTCTTTTTGGGTCCTCAAGGAATTTTTTTACGTCAGCTTTAAGGGTTTAATTTACATACATTTGATTCACCCTTTTTAATATAAAGTTCTATGATTTTGGATAAACCTATGCAGTCCAGAAGGGTAGAGTTTCAGAGTGGGATTAGTTTCTTTAAATTGTTTCACCTAACATTTCTTAAGCAACCATAATGTGCAACTCACACCGTGAGTTAGTGGAGGTATAAAAAAGAATACAATAATATCCTGCCCTCAATAAGCTTGTGTTTTCCCAAGAGATTAAAAACATTTTTGAGGGCACATGTAATTTGTAAAAGCTGGTAGTGAGAAGTGTAGATGCCATGCTAGGGCAGTTCTAAGAAGAGGGAAGACTGTTTCAGGGAAGTGAAAGGTGAACTGACCTTAAAGGCTAGATGAGAAGAAATGAGGTTGGAAAAAAAATCTTTGAAAGACATACCATAAACTATGTGGTCTGGCTTCAGAATCTAAGCTCTTGATCACTACATTATGCTTAGACAAACCAGAGCCAGAATCCGTTCTCTTCACTGTTATACTAAACTGGGTTTTTTCCTTTTCGGTGGAGGTAGGGTGTAATGTGTCACCAACTAGTAAGTTTAGGAATAGATTAGTGAGAAGAAACTAAGATAAGGAAAACCAAAGGGTATTCACTGGTCCAAACAAATGGTTGGAGAGGCTGAGGACAACAGGAGTAGGAACTGATGGGAAACATAAAGTAGAAGCAGAATAAGCCAGATGTCAATTCAACCTGTCAAAGAAGGTTATGGGGACTGGGTGAGGAAGAGGATTATAGTTACCTTCAAAGAAATAGGAAACAAGGAGGAGCAGGTTTGGTAAGAAAAACGCAAGTCTAGTTTGGCACACTTTTTAATTTGATGTGTCAACAGGTCATGCTGGCACCAGGAAACTGGAAATACATAATGAGCTGCTAGATAGTTAGAGCCCTGTGAAAGTGTGCACTGGCCAAGGGAGACTTAAATTGATTTTTTAAAAGTCTGAAGATTTGTCTGTTTTGATTCATTTATCAAATGTTCTTTGGGTGTCTGCTATGGACCAGGCATTTTGCTGGATATTAGAGGCCCCTTCTTAAACACTAAGTGTTCAAAAGGTGGGAAAATGGTAGTAAATGTCTACATTTTATTACTTATCAAGAAAGAACATGGGGCACCTAGGTGGCTCAGTCAGTTAAGTGTCTGCCTTTGGCTAAGGTCATGATCCCAGGGTCCTGGGATGGAGCCCCACATGGGGTTCCCGGATCAGCAGGGAGTCACCTTTCCCTCTCCCTCTGCCCCTCTGCCCTGCTGGTGCTCTCGCTCTCTCTCTCCTTCAAATGAATAAATGAAAGATTTGAAAGAAAAGATAAAAAAGGAAAGGAAAAGAAAAAAGGAAAAGGGAAGGAAGGGAAAGGAAAGGAAAGGAAAGAAAGAACAGACTTGCTAAAAAAAACTTTTCATATGTGGTTTTCTAAGAAAGTACTTTCCATAGAGAAAGGTCTTTAGATCTCTAGCAAAATTAAAGGAAAAAAAAACAATACCTGTGATTATTTATACTTCCATGTTTCAGTTGATTCCTTTCATACTTTTTATACATTCCTTTATCTTTGGAATTGTAGTGTTGTGAATTTAGGGGCAGAACTTGGATATTGTTTCCCAAAAAGTTTTACATTTGACAGTCTTAAATTTCACAAAATATGTTTTGTCCTTGGATTTAAAAAAAATAGTATTTTTGTAGTCATCTTTACAAATCTGTAATGATACTCTATGCCACTATCATTCTGAGATATAATTAAATCAATTATTAGTACCAATAGGACAACATAAAAAGCATCAGAGATTTTTTTTTTTAAAGCAGCTAAATCAAACATTTTACATACCCGAAGCAAACTAATTCCAAGAGAAAGAAATTAATCTCTTCAGGCTCTCCTAGTAATCTAAAACTTGTTTCATTTCAAAAACTGAGAATAGGGTTGCTCAGTGGGTTAAAGCCTCTGCCTTCAGCTCGGGTCATGATCCCGGGGTCCTGGGATCAAGCCCCAAGTCGGGCTCTCTGCTCAGCGGAGAGCCTACTTCCCCCGCTCTCTCTCTCTGCCTGCCTCTCTGCCTACTTGTGAAAAAAAAAAAAAAAAAACTGAGAATAAATTGGGTCTCCATCTGCCTAGAGTCTAAAGGAAAAAAAAAAATTTAAATCCAAGGGAAATAAAATTATGATCTCACAAAAAGACAAGTTCTATCCAAATTTTAAATATGCTATATTTAAAATTATAATTATATTTGCTTCTGGTCAGTGCTTCAGTTATTTAGTCTAATAAAATAATCTAGAATAGAAGGAAATGAGCAATGATAGGAAGAAAGGCTTTGAATTGGTAACAGAGAAAGGCAAGATTGGGGGAAATTGTGTGTGAAAATTCAAACTTTTCCTGACTTTTGGAAGCAGTTTACAAAGTTAAATGATCACTGCAGATTAAAATGAATCTGTTACTATAAAGTATCGCTTATCTATTAGAAAGTAAAGCTGGTCTCACTGTATGAACATCTAGAAGAGTCTCGACTAAGAAGCAAGAATTTGAGTTCAAAAACATGTGAAACTAATTTTTATAAACCAGCTTTCTCAACAACAATACTATTGAGAGTTCTTTCTTGTGGGGACTGTCTTATACATTATAGGATGTTTAACAGTAGTCCTGGCTTCTACCCAATGGATGCAACTAACACACACACACCAAAAATGTCTCCAGGGGTGCCTGCATGGCTCAGTCGTTAAGCGTCTGCCTTCAGCTCAGGTCATGATCCCAGGGACCTGGGATTCAGCCCCGCATCGCATCGGGCTGCCTACTCAGCGGGGCACCTGCTTCTCCGTCTCCCACTAAACCTGCTTGTGTTCTCTCTCTCTCTCTCTCTGTCAAATAAATAAATAAAATCTTAAAAAAAAAAAAAAAAAGTCTCCAGATATTGCCAGATGTCCCAGTGGAAGGCTGTGGTGAAAATGCCCCTCCTTCAGAACTACCGTTATAAATAAATAAATAAATAAATAATTTTTTTTTTTTTCCGTCTGTGCTTCTGTTTGTGCAGACATTACTGTCATGCCACTAATATTAATCATTAAGTTAATTCTAGAACAACTCACACAGCCCTCCTTAGTCTCAGCTTGCTCACCATCCCTGCAGGTCAAGTTGGCAAGATCCCAAAAACTAGTACCTCAAAATGTAATCCTGGCTATTTCTTCTCTGCAATACTGCTTCCTATCCACTGAGTGGCATGCCTCTCACTTTGGGAAATCAATAACAGTAACTTTTTAAAGACCCATAAAGAGTCCATAGTTAGGAGGTTCCATATTAAAGTGGCTAATAACACTTCTAAACCTTGGTATTCCAGTTAAACATTTTCACCCTAAGTTATTTTGATAGGTATTTGGTAACTATGCCATATCAAATTATAGTGTAATAGTATATGACATTTTCAACAAAATATGTTTAATTTGAATTCAACTTTTTTAATAGCCAGCATTATCTGGGAGAATTAACTAAAGAACATCAATTGCCCTCAAAATACCCACAGCATTCAATCAGTTCAATGAGATGCTGGTGCATAAGGTTTAAGTGATAAACCAATTTGAGTATACATTCAACTTTAGAGATTCAGTGGGTATCTAACAATAGCGCCTTCTGATATGGTGACTTGTAAAATATGACTTGGTTCACCTATTTTTTACACTGGAAGCTAACTCTTTTCTATAAACATCACATATACCTCTAATATAAACGATCAAATTAAAAATGTTCCCCTTGTGTAACAAATGCAAATATACCTAATTAAAAGTCTGGTGTAATTAAAAGGAATATCCCGGGGCACCGGGTGGCTCAGTGGGTTAAGCCTCTGCCTTCGGCTCAGGTCATGATCTCAGGGTCCTGGGATCAAGCCCCACCTCAGGCTCTCTGCTCAGTGGGAAGCCTGCTTCCCTTTCTCTCTCTGCCTGCCTCTCTGCCTACTTGTGATCTCTGTCTGTGAAATAAATAAATAAAATCTTTTTTAAAATAAATAAATAAATAAATAAATAAAATAAAAGGAATATCCCTAGAATTCATCCGCGTAAGGACTACCAAAACGGAAGTCACTCACAAATGCATAGCTGCCAGGTGCCTGTGGTTACCAGCACCCAATGTTACAACTCATCTCTGTTCAAGATTAACAAGTTGAATGAACCCTTTAAAACAATTTCCTTGGATTGCAAGTCTTAGAAAACAGTTTGGGGGCAGCTTAAAAAAAGTAAGGGATTTACTGAAAAACTACCAGGAATCTCATGAAAGCCAAGGAAGAGTTAAGCCATTTAACCCCAAGAAGAGCAAGAAGCTGGACATTTCTGAGGTCAACAGCAGCAGGTGGGGGTGGGTAGCTCTCAGTTACTAATGATAGTCAGTGTCAACTTCGTTCCATCTCTGTGTCCCCCTATTCAATACTGCAGGAAAGAGAACCTGCCTGGCCTGAGACAGATATCCTCTCCTGCTTAACCAGCTCTTAAGGGAGGCTGGGTCATATGGACACAGAGCATCCCTAGGTATCAGAGGCAATGTCCCGAGAACAAAGAGAGCTAGGCAACAATCACAAGCAATGTCTATCATGATCATTTTCTTCAGCCCACTTATTTCAGAGTAGGAAACCCAGGGCTACAGAGAGATCACAAAGGCAGTCAGCAGTAAACCAGGATTTCTTATTATCTTGTTTCAATCTCTCCTAAGTACTGCTCCTCGGCTTTCCCCTGTCCTGCAGACACCAAATATTCCTCCAAA